AATTATGAGTATGGGTACTCAGTGTTTCCTGGAATTCAATAATTTCGTAATTATTCCCAGTTTGTTATCAAATCTAACCTGAAATCAATAAGGTTAAAAGAGGTGTTTTCGGTGTCATATACTCTGGATACACATATTTACATTCATTCTAAACGGTGATAATGAACCAACCGAACAGCAGTTAATGAGATTTACATCACAAAACCATTCAGTGCAATTTTCTAAGTAGTTTCCATCATTTGTCATATTCTTTATTAATAAACTCAAATATATTTTACACTTCCAACAAAGTTTAAGTTTCGGGAACACACCTGGTAAATAATAATAGTTAAATAAAAGAATTGCGTAAACCCTTGTTTATGGCAGGCGGTTCACTATGGATAGCAAGTATTAATTAAAGATTTCAAAATTGCTTATCAGACCTGAGCATATGCAGACCATAGTGCTGTGCAGTCGTCCTTCAACATTAGGCCTTTCAGTGTTACCGGATAAGAGGTTAGAAGTATGCAGGCATTCACCACCACTAGTATGAAGTTCTGATCGGATGCCAGCCAGTAACTAGTATAATGTGTCGAGTCCTATCTTTTGGTGCAGACTGAGTTCTACCCGTCATCTAGCACGAAACCTAGCTTCAAGGCTTCCTACCGATTGCTTGCAACCATCTAAAAATAGTAATAAGTGTTGTGAGCTGTCAAAGTCCCCAGATGTCTAGCAATTGAAGACTTCTCTTTGGCATAGTCGTTAACCAAATGTTTCAGAATATTCCCTCATTAATTAGTCTTTGAATACTAACCACTATACTTGTACTGTCCTAAGTGTTATTCTTCACGACCCTCTTCAGATTAAGTCCTACAGTTTGTATCTTTGTCATTGTTTATTCCATTCAACAGATTAGTGTCCGCAGAGATATCTTTGGCGCAGTCAAGCAGCCTAGAGTAAGTGTTGCCTTCATGCAAAATAGGACACATTTTCTTTGACAGTTATTTTTCTCTCTTTTTTTATTCGAGACCACTACTTAAGTGATTACTACTTAACTAATTAGTGTCAAAATGAAATGTAGGGAGATTAAACTGAGCTGGATTGAACCAAAAAAAAAAAAGAACAAACGCCTTTTCTGTTATATGCTTGAATAGTTTTCCTGTTGTGTTTTCTAATCCAAAAAGAACTATTTTACTTTATAGCAAACAAATTGAGTCAATTTGTTATTTGGTAATTCCTAATTGAAAAAATTATTTTTTTTTACGACAGGGTACAGAACAGATATAGACAAGTAAATTGTAATAATGAGTAATCGTTTTATGTGCAGCTGATTCTGGTGTTTCTTACAGTTTGACTCCTAACAATTTTACATCACTTCAGGTTCACTAGCCAACACTACCGCTTGACACGAATGATTTTAGCAAACTACTCGAATCAAGCAGAACATATGCCATCATTCAACTTCGCTTTATTACTTAATTCTCGTTTTAGATATCCAGTAGATCGAATACAGTTTTTTTTATTCCTACACGTTCCCAGTGGAACATAGGGCTTCAATCTAGAGGCTTGAAGTTTCGGTAGCAGTGGTGTTTATTTTTACAGGATGGGGTTGCTAGCCTTATGCCCAACCTTCCCTCTTTATCAGTCTTATTACTGGCTTAGTGAGGTAAAGGAGTGCGTCGGCCGGGGATCGAACCCCGGACCATGTGCATGGTCGGCGAGCGTCCTTACCGCCATGCCACCGACGCATCAAATACAGTGGTCTGAATAATTTCAGTTTCTGAGGGGAACAAGATTTCAACATGGTGTTCCCATGAGCAGTCAGTAAGTCAGCATAAATTTCGTAGCATACTGTATAAAGTCATTATTGTATAACTGTGATAATAAATCATTCATCTTGTGTTTAAATCTTCTTCGTCTGCTTTAAAAACTTCTTGGTTTCTCATTTTTACAGCACTGGATACGAATTCAACTGACAGAATTAGGTCGACAATAATAAGTTAACAGTGTAATCCTGACTACTCGTCATTGAGCCATTAGAGCACTTAACACAGTGGCGTCAGATAACATGAAGCAATACAAACTGCTTGACACCGAACGGCTCAAATTCGAGTAGTTTTGAACATGTGTTTTCTCTATAGAGTCTCTCAAAAGCCACAATGAATGAAACACAATTTCAAGGCAACTAATTGAGTGCATTTAACTAACTACTTAACACTAATCACTGTTTGGTGTCTTAGACTAGAACCTATGACATTCAGTTAGCACAAATCGCTGAGGCACAGGATCATCCAGTTGACGAAACGCCGTTTCTGGATTTCACCACAAGTCAGTAGCCCATGATAATACTAGGATGTTCGTTCACAGAGGTCATATGCCCTAAAATGGTAGTTGATAGATTCGCTTCAGATATGATCAGCAGGAAATAGTAACTGTGAATGGAAGACGCATTCATGCCCAGAGTAGAGATTCCTTCCTTTTTTAGGATTTTGGTAAATATTTTTGTAAGTTTTATACACACATAAATGAAAAAAGAAACACAGTTAATTAGGTGAGTGTAACGCAGTTCTCTGTATTCATCTATACGTATACATCTCTTGTAATACAAGGCGAAATTCCCCAAGGTATTACTGACAAAAGCAAAACAGAGGAAGTAAAAGTGCGGAATGCCTGAGAAATGACTGCAGGTTGTCAGGATCAGCTTGGATGGAAGTTAGGCGTCCAGATAGGGAAGAAGAACTTCGTTTCAAGTTTGGCCATGGATTGATATCAGTTAGAGAACTACTGAAAATCGGGATGCTGGATAGCTGTTTCATTCTAGTTTGGGAAGGGAGTGGGGATTGGTAGAAGCTGGAACTCATAGGCTGGCCATTGCGTCAGATCCAGTGGCTGAATGATCTATGAGCTTGCCTTGTAACCACAAGTTCCTCAGTTTGAACTTCAGTGGGTGTGTACTGATAATGCATCCCAAATTACGACGAAACAGCTCTCCTGGTTTCCGGCAGTACTCTAAACGATATCAATCCATCATCAAACGTGAAACACATCAAATTCCTACAAACCGACTCTTGAAAAACATCATTTCTGTGAATGGAACCAGTTCAGATTCCTCAAAGAATATGTATTCTTTTGACATACAGGTATCATTTAGGTAGTTTGATGACTGACTGTCATTAAAAATAACTAGGTCAGAATAGCCTCCCTTCTATCTATTAATCTTTAAATGATGAAAAATGTGACATTTATGTACAGAGTCCAAATTTTACTTGTATAGTCGTTCGGTATATAATGTAAACAAGTTACAGTTTGTCTACGCACTGACAAAAATAAGTGCCTGCAACCATTTAACAACTGTTATAAATTCGTTTTCAAAAAATGATGTCAACACAACTGAAAAAACGAAGGGGTTCCTAAATGAAGAGCAAGCAATTCAGCACATGTTGTAGGCTCTGAACCAACTAGCAGAAATTTAAAGCTAGAGAACCACTGAAACCAGATATTACTGAGCGGCTGTGTCGTCCTGTTTTTTAGACTCTTATTATGTATTCACCAATGGCTGAATCAAAGATTTAACTAAAGTCACCGGCACACATCCACAGAGTGACCGTCAATTTTCCAACACACACACACACACATGTTCTAGACCTGCCGTCACCATTGTGATATTCAGTGTGACCAACAATGTACTACATGTCAGTAATTCACATGTGATATCTATTTGCAACTCTTGGTGAAAACGAGAAATCCTGAATCGTTAAGGTGCAGGGTTAATCATTTTCCGTAGCGACTAATTTGCATAATCCTGTGATCCACATTTTTTTATTCCTTCACGTTCCCAGTGGAACATAGGGCTCCAAGCCAGAGGCTTGCAGTTTCTGTAGCAGTGTTTGTTTTTACAGGATGGGGTTGCAAGCCTCATACCCAACCTTTCCTCTTCACCAGCTTTTTATTACTAGCTGAGTGAGGTAAAGGAGTGCGTCGGCCGGGGATCGAACCCCGGACCACGTGTATGGTCGGCAAGCGTCCTAACCGCTGTACCACCACACTGATACCAGATGTTTACTTCTCAAAACAATTTTGTAAAGATGACTGAATAAAATAACATCACATGACTGCACAATAATAACAATTCTGATTATTTAAAGAAATGAGATGAGCAGGGATAAAAATTCAAAGGAAACATACAGTTTTATTTTACGGCAAATTCTGAAAGTGAGAAGGATGATACGCGATTTCCAGTAACCCACTTGCACCTATTAGTCTCTGTTTTTATTCATTATTAAACTATACAGTGTGCGATGGTGGCATAGCGGTTAGGACGCTCGCCGACCATGCATATGGTCCGGGGTTCGATCCCCGGCCGGTGCACTCCTTTACCTCGCTAAGCTAGCTAAAATGCTGGTAGAGAGGAAAGGCTGGGCATGAGGTTAGCAACCCCATCCTGTAAAAATAAACACTGCTATCGAAACTTCAAGCCACTAGCTTGGAGCCCTATTTTCCACTGGGAACGTGAAGGAATAAAAAAAAACTAAACAGTATTTTATGCTATTCTTGGATTTAAAATAATTATCGCATGGTACATAATGCATGAGTAACACAAAGGCTATATTTCAGTCTTCTAGGATGTCGGCAACGAAAAGTGTATCAGTTTATTACATGAGTCAGGGCGTTATTTCATAATGCTTTTACGTTAGTCACCATATTGATTTTCTGAATGAAAAATGGTAATTAAATATCCATGGTGGTAGGGATGTATTTATGTATGTATTTTTCATTGTTTTTAATGATAGTAACTCTGAAGATGTTATCGTACCTGACGACTAAACCTTCATGTTCAACTATTGTCAGTAAGACAGAGTTGAAAAACGTTTACGCTCCCCTTGAGCCAGCAATATTTCCTGTTTCACTTATTTTTATAGTCTGAATAACTGGTGTTTAATAAAAAATTTATCACGAAAATTCAAAATTTCAAACCAAGCAATTTAGGTAGCATCATTCAGTAAACACTGTTTTATACTAACCTTTAGAATCATCAGTTTTCGCTTCGAATTCGGCATCAGGAGGACGTGTGGATCTATTTTTATGCCATTGGCTAGGTAGCGTTTGGTCTTCATTCACTTGAGATGGAGTCGCACCAGCCTAAAAAGCAAGCAGGTATAAAAAAATTGCTTCAAAAACTTCATTGAATAAATGTTTGCAGCATTTCATCAGGTTGTTGGACAAATTATCCCCCTCGAAATCAGAGTGTCCTTAAATCGTATTTTCAGTTGGTAGACTAATTAACGATTTGCAGCTTACACAGTTGAAGGTGAAATTTTAAAACAGTTTCCATAGGAATCGAAATTACTCAGATCATAATATATAATCTGTTTCATGTTGAATACACCACTGGGCCCCAGATGACCAGAACGATCTCACTAACTAGCATTGCTGGTTGATGTGATTTGTGTCTGACCTCACATACCACTGATTCAGAGGGGCAAAGTAGAGCAGAGACAATTTTTTTAGCTCATTTCCTACTGGGATCGTGCCTGCACACCTCTGAAGCGATGAAAAACTATAAGAAACTCGTTGTCAGTGGATAATAATCACACTTCTGACTTCTAACAATGAATATCGAATACACGGTATCAAATTATCATGACAAAGTTCTATTTTTAGCAGAGGCGTTGATAGGCATGTAAGAAAAAGGCCTATTTTAATCTTCGAAAATGTGTAGGAAGTTACCACCCACTATTCAAAACCAGGTTTTGTTACAATCACAAATGATGAGGAAACAGTGACTCATTTCTCAAATCCAATTAAGTTGTCTATCTACGAAAAATCTTTCACGAAACATTCTGCACACAGTTCAGATTTGATTTGCAGAATGCAACATTTGAGAAATGTTTGAATTATTATTCACAGACTGACAGTAAGCACTGGTAAAGTGTATAAAAGCAAAAAGAATGACTCAAAAGTACCAGCACTTTAGTGTGAAAACCACTCATCTCTTCTCATCCAAACATTTAGTGGACAAAACAGCAAAAAAGGTTGCTTTAAGAGGAGCTTAACGACAATATAGAGGTGAAATTAATACCCATGGACGTTAGCTCATCGTCTTGTAGATGCAAATACTGTGCATTAAAGACAGACAACTTTGATATGGCTAGAAACATTTTAAGATTAATAGGGTACTTTTTAAGCTAGCTAACGACTGCCATTGGTGCAGTCCATTAGTTTAGGACGTTGTCCTCTCAAGCAGTTACACAGCTGACAAGCTCTTGTTGATAATGAATATCACATTTGATGCAACAGTCTCCACACACACACCATTTATTTTTGTGATTCGTTTGTTGTATATGAGTTCCAATTTTATCCTATGAGTTGAATAAATAGGACAATTGTTTTCATCCTTATTGTTAAATATGTAAAAGAAGTTTACTAAATCTTTCATACTTCAAAACAGAAAACTGAACCAATCAATAATCACTAAGTTTTTTTAAAAATATCTTAATAAAAAATGATCATTTCGTGAGAAAAAGAAAGCCATAGAAACAAAGAAATCAGTATATATTCATTTCAGTAATATGTATCAATTTCTTGAATATTTTCGATAAAAAAGATGTAAACTTTTGTCTAAGAAATGGACACATAAATTAAAAAAAGGTAAAGAAACTACGTTCAATAGGCAGGGAATTATTATAAATTTAATTTCTAACAATGTTACACTTTATGTTACACAGTTGGTTATCATTTATGTTAGAAAAAGTGAGTATCTTTCCACATCACTTCTTTGTGTTTCACTTCGCAGAACTCACTGACTTTTGTTTTCTCTCAATATTTAAGGATAGACAACGAAGACAGAAAAGGCGTCAAGTAACACTAGCAGTACATTTACTAGAATAAAATGAAAATCACGTCTTAGAATTGGAATCTACGATGGCTATGGGCAGAAAGTAGCTAACGGAAAATAGCAGCAGAAGCTACCTCACAAATATACGAAGCCTGCAAAACAGCACCACTACTTCATTCGGATCACTGTATTATACTGATATTGCCAAATTTATATATATGTGGAAACCTATAAAAAAGGGGCCTTCTTGAACCTTGAGAAAAAAAATTCAGCGTAGATGGTACTCTCAGGACAATATAGAGAATGTATGAAGCATGTTAAAAGGTATGAACTAAGTCTCATTTACTAAACATGTAATCTGAAATTCTGTCTTGATTTTTGTTGTCGAGAAAAGAAACTCTTCTTAAGTAGTGACAAGCTTTATTCTTAACTCAAATAGCTAAGCTGAGAAAAAGAAAGGTTACATGAAGTGAAGGATACCATGGTGTAAAATAAGTGAACTTTTTAATCAAGCCGGAAATAAAAAGACTAATTTTAATCTAAATTATTGAAATATGTGGGAACTGCTCAAGGAAATTATCTGTAGGAAGCATATTAACAGTGATACTTATTCATCTGAAGCTGCTACGCCTAATAAGTCGTTCATGTGTTATCCAGTAAGTGTTACAATTTCTCAGGCTACAAACGAAAGAATGATCTCTTTCCTGGTTTTTATATGTACGATGTTCCTAAATGTCTGCAGTCCCTGTAACCTTTCCAACCCCTAGGTATAGATGGTATGTCCAATTTATCAGCGAAAGATTTGGGAATATTCTGTGTCATCCTCTTGATGGCATCTTCAATGAGACATTTTCCACAAATGCTATGCCTGATTCTTGAAAAGACATTGTAATTAACCTGGTGTCTAAATCAAAGAGTGAACCATTATTATTAAAAACAGTGGAAAAGTTGCTCTTACTTAACCTTGAACCTTCACTGAAGTTTTTAATGACACAAAACAGTTTGCTTACAACCATGGTAGTTGTGTTTAAATGCATCTGTTGTCTGACATCAGGATATTGTATCTAGCTTAGATAGTGCTGCTAAATATTATCAGTGTGCCTGCCTAGATTACACATCTGCCTTTAACTCTGTATCTGGACCTCTTTCGATAAACAAACCTATCGTGACACAAGCGTGATGCTGGGCTGACAAATGGTACCATTCTTTCTCATAGAAAGCAGTAAACTGAATATAAAATGAATTCTCTCACTGCCTCACTTACTGAAGCTGGTGTCCCTCGAGTTGCTGTTCTTTCTCCTTTCCTGTTTTCTGTTTTCCGACACAAGTGAACATATTCTGGATGAAAAAATCTTGTTAACTATGTAGAAGATTTGACTGTTTCCATGCTGGCTACAGCTTGGTTAGATTGTTTCAAAATGAAGAGTCTCGTATCAGAAATTATTCATCGGTTTTTATCGAATGCTTTTAACATAAGTGCCCCCCAAATGTCAGATTACTGATTTCAGGGGTTCATCCCCGCTATCCTTTTTTCACAAAAAGAAATTGAAACTAAAGCGAATGTTAGATCCCTTCGATTATGTCTTGTTTCTGATCTTTATCGGTCTTCTCACATCATATTAATTTCAATAAAGATATATCAGAACTTGTGTCATTCAGTCTCTACTTCCACACTTTATTAATGCTTGTATTCAACCTATTCTTCCTTATTAATTCCCTTCAATTTTCTCTGGCTATATAAGAAATAATTTGTTAAATTCCAAAGGGCACTAAGAGCTGTCAGTAGACAGTGTGGGTTGTTGCTAAACCAGTCGGTTGTAGATAGAAACTTGAACTAATGTAAGTAATTAGCGAATATCACTTTATTGGACTCTAAGCATCCTCACAAGTTAGAACTGGTAGCAGTTATAAAAGAATGTTTATGCTCGGACGAATAAGTCTGAATTTTGTACAATACCTTATTAAGCATGCTTTCTATGTGATGTACATAAGACTGGACAAGCAACTACTAAGTGTAAAGCATGACACTGACAACTTTCTGAGAGACAGTAAGTAAGCGGTCCTTTTCATTATTCCTTTTATTAATAGACTGTTGTCACTATTTCTACATACTTTAATTTTTTTTAAACACATTCTTATTCAACAGTATTATCAATGTTAATGTTCTGATATTCACTTCCACTAGTTATTTAAGTGTAAACAAAAAATTAGGTGCAAATTGTATTACACGGTGAAATTTCTACACTCTATCAAAAGTTCTGTTTGGAATAGAACCATTATTATCATCCCTATATTTCTTTTTCGAAGGGTGGAGAAGGAGACGTTGGCGTGATATAAAACTATGTATTATCTCAAAACCATATTCATCTCTATCACTTTTTGACACTGGACAAATGAAACTAACTGTTTCAAATACGACAACTTTTGTACTACTATTGGAGGTGGAAAAAAGTATCATATACTGAGTACCAAATGCCCAACTTCTGCTTAAATGAAAATCTACTGATTTTGACTGATATTAATAATTAAGGGAAATTACTGCAATAATAATGATAATAATGAATCTGGTTGTAGGACAATACGATGGTGACATTATCTAGTTTATTAGACGGATCTTTCCCAAGTGAATCTATCATGTTTTGACGAAAGAATTAGACGTAGCGTGTAAACATAAATTTTAATAATTTCCATTAGAATTTAGGAAGAAAAGAGTGTGAATAAGTGAAAAAAAAGATTTTTCTTGGCAATATTTTTTAAAATTATATTATTATTATTGTTTCCTTTAATTTCTAGAGGAACATAGGGCTTCAGCCGTGCATCTCCACTGCGTTCGGTTCTCTGCTAGAGTTTTCACCTGGCTCCAAGTCTGTCCACATGTTTTCATCCCCTCTTCACATGACCTCCTCCAAGTCACCCTTGCACTGACGACCAACTCGCCACTTCCCTTTCGGGTTCCACTCGAGCGATGGCTTGTCTAGTGATGTCACTTGATGCTTTGTTTCCTCAGAGTATGGCCAATCCATCTCTATTTCCTTCTGCGTATTTATTTCACAATCGGTCCCTGGTCGGTTCGCTCCCAGAGATCTTAAACTGTTGCTGATCTTTTCTGGCCATCTGATCTTGAGTATTGAGCAAAGACAACTGTTAATGAAGGTCTGTAGTTTGTTTGAGATGCTCTTTATGACGCGCAGTGCAAGTCTCTGATCCGTATAGTAGCACTGACTGACTTCACATTGGAGTTATAAATCCGGATGTTATTTTTTCGTGCTGAGTGCTGTTGACCTCCACACGGACATGAGAGTAG